CAGTCGAGATGACCAAGCAGCACAGCGGCACGCTGCTGGCCTTCGCCACCCAGAGTATCTGGACCATGGAGCGCGCACTTTCAGCAGGATATGATGCGCCCCAAGGTTGCCCATGTGGACACCACAAAGATGATCTCCAACATCGCTGCCTCGAGTGCCCCAAGACTGCCCAGTCCAGAGAAGAATTCACGAGTGGGGAGCCTCGCAGGTTGAAAGACCCGATTCCTGACACCTTGGGTTTCAGTTTACGCCCAACTTTGCGGGCAGGCCCCCCCCCCTGGCACTGGCCTGGAGGCCGCTAAGATTTGGTGTCGGGACCCTAATTTAAGGTCTGAGGAAGCGTTCAAAGGTGATGTCTACATAGATGGTAGTTGCACGTGCCACGGCCACTATAACTTCAATGCTGCTGGGTTTGTCGTAGTGCGCATGGTGGATGGAGAGGAGTTTGCCGCCTTTTATGGCCGAGTTGTGCCCCCGGGGGGCCCAGACCTCGGGGGCCGCTGAGCACCTCGCCGCAGTGACGGTAGGCAGGCCCTCACCTCACGTTGACAAGATTTACTCGGATTAAAAAAAGGGGCGTTGCAGTTGCACGGCGAGGCTGGATACCCTCGCCGGAACCAATGGTCAGGTTGTAATGTGCTCGCGGGCGGAGGCTATTTTGACCTCGGCCCCAAACTCCAGAAAGTCAAGGCTTACCAACATCTGGAGTTGCTTTCCCCCGATAGTGACGAATTCAATTTAGGTAGCGGCGACGACGCCGCAGATAGGATTGCCAAGGCCGCCGCGAACCTTGGCGGCCAACCTAGTCTTGACGAAGTAGAGCAGTATCAGAAAGACACTGCTCTGCTGAAGAAATACCTTCGATATGTCCAAAGCCCTTGGGGAGTGGCCCGCGATAGCCCCTCGTCGCAACAAGGCGCTGGCCAAGCCCGTGAAGAGCCTCTCCCCTCCCTCGGGGGCTGCCTCGGTCTTGGCCTCCTGGGGCCCTGGGGCCCCGCGTTCCGCCCCTCCTCCCCCTCCTCCTCCTGTGGCCCCTCGCGAGATTCCGAGGGCCCACGTCTGAGCGATAGTGAATGGCCAGCGCCGATGTACGATTTGCCGCATCCGCGTCCGCACGTTCAGAGTTTATGAGGAGCGACGCAGTGCAATGGATTGTCCTGGACACTGCCCCCAGATGTCCAGCCTGGCCCCCAACCCCAGGGGACATACTTTGTTCGATTATGAGCACCTCGAACAGCCAACAAGTTTTCGGGCGTGCCACAAGTGTGGTTCCCTTAAAGGAGGGCAATTCGAGAGGTTTGTCTGGTGATTGCAAGTTGACACCGCCCCATACTTGGGCTAAGCTGCAGCTACAGAGAGCACAATCTGGCGGTCACCCCAAGAGTTCCGCCGCCAGCCCGATTGTGATCAGTCTCCCTCCCGTGCCGCTGGAGCAGCTGCTCAGAGAGGCAGCTCAAGCCCAGGCGCAGACAGGCCCACACCAAGGATGAGGTTTGTCCACCGTCCTGGAGTTCTCTACAACAGGGGTGGGCAGTGCCGGGTCGTCCTGGCGTCGCTTCATTATGTGTACTTGTGCGTGTGTGCGAGCGCGCTCCCCGCACGCGTGTCAGGCACCCCGACTCAGGGGGAAGGAGCGTTAATTTCTTTCTCCTGCGGCATTGGCCGCAGATACGCCTTGGCCCGATGCAGGTTTGATCTGGGGTTTTGTTTCTCGCTCCGACTGGCGGTGCTGGTGTCCCGCAGCCAGCCCTAGTATCCGAGCTTTGGGGTACCGCCAGCCAGGCGAGGCATGCCGTCCTTTTCACTGCAGAGTGCTGTTTTGGCGCTACCGCTTTGCTGGGCACGTGGGTGGACTTTGGGCTCCCTTGCCCACCCTGACTGCTGCCCAGATCCACCTTCCCACCTCCCCGCCACGGGCGGCGGAGGAACGGGATTGTGGCCAGGTGTGCAACGCCACATCTGGGCCCAACTGAGTACTGTGCGTGTGTGCGTGCGCGTGTGGCCCTGCACGCGTGTCGGGCACCCCGCCTCAGGGGGAAGGAGCGCTGCACACTCTTCTGCGGCACAGGGCTGCAGCTTCGCCTCAGCCCACAGCTGTTTCCAACTTCTTTCCTGGACTGACGGTGCTGGTTACGCAGCCAGCCCCAGAACCCGAGCTTTGGGCTTCCGTCAGCCAGGCGACAACCCCACGGGGGCCTCTGAGCACGGGGGTGGACTTGGGTTACCAGCCGCCGCTGCTGAGGCCTGGCGTGCAAGGCCACACCAGGCCGCAGCACCACATTCAGCGTCGGCAGCGCACTGCCGTCTCAGGGGCACCCATGGCCGCGGTGGAGAACAACTGGTGGCCCAGTGCCATGAGGTTTCGGGTTAGGGTCGGGTCGGCCAACCCTTAGCCTCCCCATTAGCCAAGTGATGGTCCCTCCCTCATCCCTTCCTCCTCCCTTCTCCTGTCTGACTCCTCCTCAACTCCTCCCTGCTCGCACCTCCCTCCTGCCTCCAC